CCAACAAGTGCTTATTACTTAGCGTGCTCAGATGATTAATTATTTTAGCCACTACATTAATAACGCCACCATCATTATCAGGTTAAGAACGACCACCACTATTTACAACATGTATCAGGTTTGCAGAGCAATTAACAAGCATCTCCCATATCTAAAAGTTATGTACATTTCATGCACTTGGGTCAATAATTTAGATGGTAAAGATGTGTAGGGTCAATATTGGTTGCAATCAACAATCATCTGCATCACATGGCAGCCATCTTTAAATACAAGATAATTGGTCATATAAAATAGTAATATTCAAGCTTCCTTGCCCCCAATTATGTGGATATGGTCATTGAAAGAAGTTATCTCTGTCAATTAAAATTACAAGCTTTAGGTATATGGATTACAGATGTTGGCCATTTTAAATCCAAGAAGGCTAACAATAAGATTATTGAGCTTGGCCTCCTTTCTGAAAATGTGAAATATAATTGATTCAGTATATTTATGAAATGTCATGTTTCATCATCTAGAGTGCACAATTGCTTCATATTATGTCACATGTGCGCACCACTTTTTCATAAATGATATGTCGTAATCCTAGGCTACAAAGTCATGTATCCAGCCAGCGAAACCAACTGTGAATTGCAGACAATTTGATTAGTGACATCCAACAAAGTTATGCATTTCTTTTAACAGAGGTATTGTTTCATACTACTGTATGTAAAATGCATTGAGAGTGTTCTTGGGAGATTTCAAGCTATCAAGGATATTGGTGACATTTTGCAGGCAAAAAAAACCTTTTCATTTTCTCACAGTATTTTTGTGTTTATAGCAAATGTTTTGTCAACCACATTTGTTTTTTTAGCTTAATCATTGGCTTAAAGTGTGAGGGAAATAAATACATTCCAAGAGGGATATGAACGAGATAAGGCATAAATTGTGTCTCTGTGGACCAAAATTATTCCTCTGCAATGTAGCCCTTTGTCAATTCACTGCTGGATGCACACCATGTCAGTTATGGGGGTATTTTGTCCATACTTCACCATACTGGTCAGAACCCTCGTAGGGCAGTGCACTTTCAATTGTGCACTTAATATGCAAATCACTGCAGTTATTGTGGTGGAAGAACAAAATGCAATGCAATTAAAGCTCATCCTTTAAATCCCGTTTTGCCTTTTTGTGGATTTTTTTAGCAAGAATAAAAAGCCAAGCGTGTGCCCTTTTTGCAGAAGGTTAATGTATGGTTGCAAAGCACATTAACTTATTGCATTTAGTGGACATCTGAGGAGTGCACTAAATCAGCAGATGTATGTCACAGTTGAGACTGGCTTGGAATCGCAATAGGTTTGCCGAAGATCTCGAGTACATAAATTGGACGTGTAGTTCACCAAAAGTAAATTTTTTCCTCCCCTGTCCAATAAACCTGTCATAATGAGATTGTCATTCGCTTGCAGCCTGGTTTTTTTTTACACGCAGAAACTTATATTGTAAAAGCTATGTGTGGAAATGTCTTATCATCACATACTCACTAGAATATTATTTAACTTGTTTGTGTTTACATTATCAAGATTTAGCAATATAGTGTGCCCATACCATCTTAAATGAGTAATATGGTCAGCATTCACGTGTAACTCCCATCATCATCAACCGCACCCTATCCACTACTGGATGAACCCCTCTCTGATTATTCAACATTCACCGCCCATCTCACGATGTAACGATCCACGCAGCGCCTGTCAAATGGCTTCACCGCTCTATATCCACCACGGTCGTCCTTTCAGGCGTATCCTCTCCTTCACCTGTCATGCCATCATGAGTCTCGACCATCGGCCATGATACCTTCCAGCGTCGTATCCTGCCCAGTGCTAATTTAAGTCAGCATGGCGATGTCTTTAACTTGTGTTTGTTCTCTGATCCATGTCTTCCTTGTATATACGTTGAACTTCTTCGCATCATACATAGCCCACCATGCTAATCGGAGATGCGGTGTTGGTGTTTGTACACCACTGCCCTTGATTGATAATCTCATTGCGTTTTCGTGTCTGATCAACCCATACTGGGAGAGGAGACGAGTAAGCATTGAGATGACAAGGTAGGGGATGACGCATGGATTTGACGTGCGGAATGATTTTCCTTGAGCGCTAAATGCTGACAAATTTGTCAATTGCTTTATTTTTCCAGGTGATCTGTTGCCCTTGGTCGTGGTGTTTTCACGCAATGTGTACATTTATCTTAGCACCTAACAAGACTTGTTTTATGAACATCAATAGTGTTGGGAATTGCTAAGCAAATATTAGTTAATGCACCGCCGTGGTATCTACCACCATAAAGATATTTGCCGGCACTCTGTGCCGTGATTGATGCATATGAGAAATGTACGTTCCATCTGATCTCGGCTTGACAGCATCAACTTATCATAGCTCGACATGCTTTGTGCGGTGTTTCTGTGATTCATGTGCAGGAGACGTGTTGACAGATTGCATATAAACAGTATTTTTCTGCTGTGATATGCATTGTACCGTAATATTTATGTATAGTTCGTGCTTCCTGGAACAGATAGAATTGGAACTGTTTTTAATTGATAGTTATCGTTTATGTGGATGTACAGTGATCATCCTAAAACATTAATTTGCAAATACTGTCAAAGATTTCATGTAAGAATCGCTTTCATTGCCATTCAGAACTTTAATTCATTGCTACTAAACTATTGTTAATTAAGGCAGAATATTGACTGAAGTTGCACCTTCTTTGAAATCCACATTTTATCCATTCTACCCTCGAGGGAAAAGAATATACTTTGATGAATTATTTATATATCCTTTCAATCAAACGTGGCCCCCTGTTTCCCACAGTAGCATGAACATTATGGGCATGGCTGACCTCTACTTATATAAATATATATCTGCAGTCTTGCATTACACTCGCAGTGTAAATTTCCCACGCTTTTGGGTAATCGCATCTGAAAATGTGCTTTAGCAGGATTTTCTCCACAGCCATATACAGAGCTGCTAATGAGAATACCTACAGTACTCTCCATCCCTGTCAATTTTTGTTTTAACTCTGGAAATGGATCGCTGGGATCATGTGCTTCTTTTAAATGCCAATATATGATATGTATGGATGTGGCCGATGCAACAAAGCAAGTACTGGGACTTTTGTAAACTTGAAAGAAAACAGTAGAATACGATTGATGATTGTTGGCAAGCGGCTGTAGTCCTAGTCATGAATTTACACTCACCTTGAACTTCTCTAACTTTGTCTGCTGTTCATTATGCCTTGAGCTAGGTTATTTAATTCAGTGTGTCTCTCTCCCTGTCTCCTCATTTTTCCAAGCTTTTGCAGCGTGCCACTCATTGACATGCTAATTTCTCTAACCCCTCCCTCTCTCTCCGCCCCCGCCCCCTCTCTCTATTTCTGCAGCGTGCCACTCATTGACATGCTAATTTCTCTAACCCCTCCCTCTTTCTCCGCCCCCGCCCCCTCTCTCTATTTCTGCAGCGTGCCACTCATTGACATGCTAATTTCTCTAAACCCTCCCTCTCTCTCCGCCCCCGCCCCCTCTCTCTATTTAAGGCCTCGACACAGAGGCGTGGTTTCTCTGTGTGTCTATGTATCTCTGTGATATCTGTTTCTACTTATATGTCTGTCTATATGTCTCTGGTTCTGTGTTTTATCTCTCTCTCAAATTTAGCATTCTCAGGAAGAACGTTATCAACCAGGTAGGGTGTTGACTATTATGTTATCCGACTCTCTGTTGTATTGCATTACATTTCTAAGTATACTAGATTTGTGTTTCTATTTCATTTATACCTGATGATGATTGCTTGTGTTGCAATCGAAACGTCGTATGCTAGTATTTAATTTATTATTTTCTCGTTATACGTGACTTTACCGAAAGAACCAAAGAGTAATTCCTGCAGTCACGAAAGCTCCAAATTAAGTATGCATTGAGCAGTTCAGTTTCCCCCCCAAAATGTATTTTCACCCACCATTTCCTGTAAGACGAAGAAAAGGGATTGTACTTTCATGAACGTCATTTTTGTAGAAACAGATGTTTTTTTCTTCTTCTTCTAACAGACCACTTGTAAATGTTCTCAATTCTCGCATAACAATCAGAATATTCTTACAATCCTTATTCTCTCCAACGTTTCATTGTATGATTCAGTAAGGGACTGGGAGAGGTCACACTTCCATACACTTATTTTTAGTTACTAGCTTGTTTGCCCGTCCTAGGACGGAAGCTGTAATATTTACGAAATAATTGAGCAGAGTATAATTGTATCTTGTGTAAATTTAATGGTAGTGAATCTTGCACAAGTATGTCATCAAACACTTAACTGCATTTCATTGTAACACTGTATTCATGGCGGTGATTCTGGCACAAACTATGTCATAAAACACCTCACTTCATGTCACTGGAGCAATGTATTTAACTGACCTTCAATTTGTTCTAATTCACTGCTCTGATACTTTATTCTCTTCTGCTTTTGGTCGCTGGGGTTGAAATAAATTGGAATTCGATAAAATATCTGGAAAATCACCGAGAAATGTATATTTGACCATAATGTAGAAGCATAAATTAGACTTTCCTTTTGTCTCAAGTTCTGAAGAAATAAATAAAGACACCAAATCCACTTTGTTGCTGCGTATAGACTTTTATTAGATTCACTTTCAATAAAAAAACGTCAAACTTAAAGCGAAATTGCGAATTTTTGTAATTTCTGCTCGACCTTCTGCATGAGTGTAAAAATCCACCCGCTCATGAAAATTAATGAGGGGAGGGGGGGTGCGGCATGTGGAGAGACGTCACGCGCGTTACACACACAGATATTCTTGGCTCATTACAGTAGTAATACACTTTAGATACTGCACTGGCTTATGAATTTTCATCTTGAATATGCCAGCAGAGAAACTATCCCTCGGTGAGCATGATGACTAATACGGCCATGACAAAGGCCGCTTCTGTAGAGTTGCTGTAATGTGTGACAGTATTGAATTGTTTTGATTCCCGGCAGGCCTTCAAGATTGAGCCACATGACCCGGAAAGGCTTGACATGCTGCTCGCAGATTCCTTACGGGAAAACCTCCCTGCCTCCAACTTGCACCTTTTTGGAAATCACCAGCTCTCCAATAATAATAGTGAGTTGATACGTGATGCAATAGTTTAACACGTCCACGTGCCATCCTATGAATATTGTTTGTGTAGTTTTAAGATAATTATTTTGTTGATAATTTTTTGACATTGTCAAGTATCATCAGTCTACATGTGTTTAAGTATTAAATTGTTCTTGTTCTAATGTGTTTGCTAAAAAAAAAATTTCATTGGCTCATTCATTGAATTAATATGGTATATGCATTCTTGTGTTGTTTTAGTTAATTATTCACTTAATAGTTACATTTAACATATACGAGGAAATAATTTCTAAAAGTCGGATGGTAAAACTGACCGTGATAATAAAGAGCAACACACCAGTGCGCATAAACGTTTTGAATCGGTGCACATTACTCGCTGTGACAAGTGGATTCGCAAACATGGAAACCGAAAATAAAATAGATCAAAAGCCTCAACTTGCACAAAGACACGTGGAGGGAAGCGTTCTTAGATTTATACTTAGATCGCACCTCCGATTAATTATCACGGTTGGCGACGCACGGTGCGAAAGAAGTTCACAACTTACATACAAAGAAGACGTGGATCAGAGAAAAAACACCAGCTAGGGATATCGTCACGCCGAGTGTTAAAATATTACTGCGCGTGGGATTGGGCAGGACGCCACGCTTGAAGGAATCATGGCCTGATAGTCGAGACGAACGATCCCATGACAGCTGAAGGCGAGAATATGCCTAAAGTCATTTGACAGCTGCTGCGTGGATCGCTACATCGTCAGACCGCCGAGGGATGGTGAATCCTTGGAGAGGGGTTCCTGCAATAGTGGATAGAGTGTGACTGATGATGGTGGGAGTTACACATGTGAATGCTGGCCATATGTTTAATTTAAGACGGTATGGACACACTATATTGCTAAATCTTGATAATGAAGACGTGAAAAGGTTGAATAATATTGCAGTGATTATGTAACGATAAAAATGGCTACAAATAGATTTTCCAATATATATGGTATGTGCATTGATAAATTCAATGCATGTGTTTGAAAAGAGCTTTAAAGTTTCGATTTATATTCCTATGCTACGCTAATGTACATTACACCTGTATTATATATATATATATTATTTTACACAAATTTAATGGAAAGCAGAGCTGTGGATTATTTATTTTTATGAGAATTTGTGATAAACTATTCTAGGCTCACGATAGGGTAACCTCAGGGTTAGGATGTGAACGGGAGCTGCCCTTGGCCTCATCACACAAGGTGTCACCGTGAGAGAGGAGAGACCCATTCTTTCCCATTTCCCCTCCTGCATTCTTAAATAATAGACTGCGACATGCAATGGAATAACATCGACCGGATTACCGAAAGGTGGGCCCTATCGCAGCACTGGAACATCAAAGAAACTGACTTCATCCCCCTGTTGCCGCTCGCCGTCATACACGTTGCACAACACGCGACACGTGGATAGTTTTGACTTAAAAAAAGCGTCCAGTTTCTTCGCCGCAGGTGACTCATATTTCAATGGACTGCAATTTGTACACAGATTTCAAACAATGTCTGTTCTTGCGGCGAATGGCAAACGCTTGAGTTTGCTTAGACATCCATCCACTGTGAAAGACTCAAAGGAGTTTAAATTGGACAGTCTTGAGGGCAGCCAAGCCCGAGCTTAGTGTGCTATAAGTGAATGCCACGTCAGCAAAAGTTTGAAACAACACAGTACAAAAAAGTGGTGTAATTCATGAGGCAGCAGATGCACACGGCAATAAATGAGGTGCTTTTCATTGCCAAATTCTTTGGTTTTGGCAGACTCCAGTTTTAGCCACATTTCTCATTTTAGAAGCAGTGCTCTATAGAAAGTTAGCTGCAAGATCCTTTTCTTAAACATTGAGCAGGAAACGAGGCTTTGTTTAATTCAAAGGTGTTCTCTGCAAAAGAGGCTAAACCTTAAGTAAAAACTCATTTTGTATGTATTACACATTTATATTAGCACACATTATAAACGCACTGGATACTTAGTGAGGGTTTTCAGAAATAATCAGTGTGATATGTAAACACAATAATATCCATAGAGTTGGGTTATCTGCTTTGCTTCCGTAAGGAAGGTTTGTTCGAGACTTTGGCCAAATTAACTTGCTCCTGTCTCCTCCTCTAGCACGAAATGTGTGTCCTCTCGTGTACATGTACAGCCTTCCCTATGCCATGCAGGTGATGAGGGTTATTTAACTATACATCATACTGGTCAAGAGGGGTTGGTGAAGTCCAGTAATATATTTAGTTTCACTTGACTGCCCACCACATAGCTCCACAGTCCAGTCACATCATGTTATGCAGAGTAGTCACACGGCCAATCACTACCCACGCACGCTCAACCCTGCTTAGCTTGCCACATCCGTCAAGATCTGCACGCGCTCTGGTCATAGGCTAACCTGTGACGCTATGCACATTTATTCATATGGTGGTCACCGACACACTCCAGTTAAGTCAGGTACACATGGGCTCTGTCCCTGTGCCAGGCACCCAGAAACGTACTATAATTTGAATCTTCCATTATTATTATTACTTATGTATGTTGAACTTATTTTGCACCATGCTTAGCCAACCCTGCAAATCGGAGGTGCCGGAGAAGGATAACAAACCAAACACAAAAGCATTTCACAAGAAATTCGTTTTCAGTTTGGGTTTCAAAATGAATAGCTCCCAGTGGCTTGCTAATATCCGAAGGAAGAGCGTTCCAGACGGCCGCAGAAGCGCATCTGAAAGCGAGCGTGATGCGGCGACCGTCTTTGTATCTCAGGTAGAGCAGGGCTATCCGACAGGTAAGCTGTGGTGCATCCATGTGCTCGGTGGACAGACACAGGGAGATTTTAAGAAACGTACTCATTGTTTCAATTGCCTCATCGGGAGAGTGAACCTACGACCTCTGTATTGCAAGTGTTGTGCGTGCACCGTTGCACCATGGCAGCGGGAAGCCTTAATCACACTCAAATTTGCCCTTCTCATACCTTGTAAAAAAGTATGTTTAGTGACAAGCCTTCATTAAACCTTCATTGTGTCAAAAGTTGTAACTTACGGTATAATGATAACGGATAAAACCACGTTGAGTGAACCGGCGAAGACCACTCAATTTACGGTCACATATCACGAAACATTAAAGTACTCTGTCGCTAAAAGCACACAGCTATGCCCTTAGCCATGGCAGTAAATTACGTCTAAGAGCCACATTGGGAGCCACCTGTGCTGTGTGCGTTCTGCCCCATGCAGCCCAGCGAGAGGAGGAACTGCCCACGCTGATGCATTTTGCGGCCAAGCACGGCCTGCGCAACCTGACAGCGCTGCTCTTCCAGTGCCCCGGGGCCGTGCAGGCGTACAGCGTGGCCAACCGCAGTGGCCTGTACCCCAACAACCTGGCCGAGCAGCATGGCTTCCAGGACCTGCGCAAATTCATGGACGACTATGTGGTGAGGCTCACCGGTCGGGCACAAGCAATCGAGGCGTGATCCGCGCAAGACCACTACCAGGGCTGAAGGCTCGAGTTGAACAGCTTTGTAATGCAACATTGGTTTAAATAGAGAAACGGACAGGACGGGGGATAGAAACGTCGGACGTTCTGCCGGAGAACACGCGGTACTATCCGGAATTACATGGAAGGGCTGAACAGCACAACCGAGAAAAGCCACGTGGTAGTATGACTAAGTCAATCGGCCCATTGAATTTTCTGCCACTGGGTTGGGTGTAATTGATAGGGTAATTTACTTGCTTGCACATTTAGCCGCATAGAGCAGAAAAGCCCAAATGGGGAAATAAAAAAATAAAATTGAATCGATTCTCATGGTTAAGCCCCAGATTATTAGGGATATCTCTGCCCTCAGCATATTTAATACATGAAGTAATAACAGGCAACATTGCCTGAGGAGCAAGTGCTGTTAGCGAGCACCTGTTAACGCCAGCCCGGTGCGTCAGGAGCAGGTGGGCAAAGTCTCACACCCAGTTGATTTTGTGTTCAAGTGATGTTGTTGATGGTGCATACCGAGTACTCATTTTAGGCTCAGTTAACCTAGGGATATTATCTCATAATTTTAGATGAATGGTAATTATTTTATCGTGGTGGAATATTTACGGCTTTAGCAAATAAACTTCTTTAAATAATGTACCAGGATGAAGACTTAGATACTCAAGATCAAAACGCACAAGTCTCCCAGCAAATAATTTGCTCCAAATGAATTCATATTTTCATTAACAAGGCTGCCTTTACTGAATTTAAATGAGAGGAAGTGTTATGCTTTATTTTGTAAAGCGTAAATATTTATATCTGATCTTAATAATTGCCTTCTGTTTGAAATGGTCAAATTATTTGTGATCATGCCTCATCATCATTAGCCACGATCTATCCATTGGTGGATGAACGCCTTCCTCAGCCATCAATCTATCCAGCTCCTGCACACGAGCTGACTTCATTGCTCCATCTCTACAGTGGATGTGCTTTCCGGCATTTTCAATCTTCTGGCTGTCTCTGTGCCATTAGTCTTGACCCCCAAAACTCTCTTCAGGGTGCCTAAGAGGATTTAACATCATAAGCATCTCAATGGAAACGTCTATTCAACTCACATAAATGCATAGTTTTCGCTCAAACGATGTATAGGTAAAAGCACACGTGCACGCGTTTACGCACTGTATATTTATTTTGGGACAATTTTTTATCCGCTGGTAGTCATGTGGAGTGTTGAAATCAATGTTGTTGGATGGGCATCTAACATGATTGCATGGCACAACGTGGTGTGACCGGTCGCACAAACACAGAGGCAGGCTGCTCTTTGCTTCCCCCCGTGCATATATGCGTTCACGCCGAGGCAGGCCGAGGCTGCACGAGGCAGGCCCAGATGCCGATTCAGGCGAACCTGGTTTTGTTGCATGGTCTGGATAAGAACCATGGTCACGAAAATCGAAGCAGAGTGTGCAAGCTATTACAGCCACACAAACAAACATTGATCCCCTATTTACTCTTGCAAAGCTGTTGGAACAAGGGTTGTTAAAAAGTACTGTGAGCGCCAGTGTGGCCAGCAACCGTATCGAGCCACCTATTAACTTCCCAGTGCTGATATTCTATTCACAAACCATACCGGGTGCTCATTTGAGTTTGAGACGACCCAAAAGGAGGCCCCGAGAAAGTTCGGATACCATGTGGTACTGATGATGTGCATATTATCTCGTCTCATTATTTATTGAGCGCCTTTGTTCAAGGCGCCGGGAATCAAACTCAAGTTGCAGAGCTCATTTCGGAGAGCATGAACTGCTGCACCACCACTTCCAGACAAATAGTAAGATCCCGGTATAGCCCTTAACAGCCTTTTGGGACAAGTGCTCTCGCGAACACCTATGAAGGCTTGCATGGCACCCGAGGGGGTGGGTTCCCAGCACCACACCCGGCCGCCTTTGTCTCCCTTGTGGCTATGTTTTCACATTGAATCATGTACTCATTTGAGACTTAGTCGACCTAGGGGAGGCCCAGGAATGGTTCAGTGATTCAGTGGTTCATTAATTTTGGCCGTGAGCAGGCATCGACCTGTACTAGTGACGAATTGGCATGTTCTGTTTACGTGACAAACTTTACAAGTTGACTGTGTAGGGTGGTGACGGGTTTTAATGACACATTTCTATATTTACGCGATCTAACCCAAAGACCTCTATTATGGACCTAGTATTGCCAGGTTTTTTGCGCAGCGTGCTCACCGCTTAACCACAGCTCCCCACCATATCACACACTCGCTGACGGACTCCTCCTTTTGTACATGCTGTATTTGTTTAAAATGTTTTAACATACGTTAACTGTAGCAACATAACTATATTGACTTCTATAACTGATGCGCAACCTGATTGATAATGCTGTGGGCATCTTAGGATGTGTGTGCTCATGACATGAGACAGCTTTTTATCCTAGAGACCATTATGGCTTTTTTATCTATCAACTATTATGCTGATCAAATATGCGATGCTGTTGATTCACAGTAACATTAATTAGGCAGCAGTTCAAAGGTAATGAGATAATTTTGTATGGCAGCAAAGTTTGATAACTCCTGCCTGGGAACTTCAGCATTTGCCCAGTTGAATAAATATTATACAGCCATTGGTACAATTTCTTTCTGCATTGGGACAGAGCCATAAGCAATCCCTCTCAAAAGCCAAGCTGCTTATCGACTATGATTTGAACATTGAATTTAATATTACTTGTGCTTGTGTTAAAGGTACTCAATGCAATCTACGATAAAGTTGGGTGGGAGATGGTAGTGGCCTTCAGGTGGCCCACCTGTTAAGTGTTTCATCGCATGACTAATACCATCACTTCGATCTTTGCCACGCACTAGAAGTGTACGGTAATATTAAATCCGTTTACATTGCAATTCATAAATGCATCCTGCAGCTAGTAATTTAACGGACAGACAAGACATGCAGCTAAACATATTGCGTGAGATATCAGAAACTTTTATCATCATGTCTCGCTTATTTTAACTACCGCTGTGCTTATCTTGAATGCATGTACATTTCTCAAACTGAATTATCACAGAAAGATAATGTCATGTATGATAAGTAAAAAAAATTCTGACAATTTTAACAAATCGTATACACCGCGTCATCTGCATCCATTTGAATAGATAGCATCCAATGACATTAACATAATGTAAAAAAAAAGCCAAAAGCAAAAAAAAATTATTAAATATTTTCTGAAATTTTATTTTAAAATCTTTACAGTGCTTGGTTTTTATGTCTCTCTTTCACACTTAAGATGAAATACTGTATACCCTTATATAATACCAGACGCATTGCCAGGTGTTGGGAATTTGTCTTAGAACGTCATAACATATTAATCGACTGAAATGAGAATCACAGTATGTTGTATGGCATCACAGAACTTAAATTTAGTTTTGGTTACTCTGTTATAAGAGGATTGGCACAGCTGCTATAAAATAGTATTTAAACTATATGCAGAAAAAGGCAGTGTTGGATCATTACAGTAATGCAGCAGAGTGTGGGGTTCTGATAAAGGTCTGGAAACATTTGCAAATTAATATAATTCTAGCCATTTTTCACCAATCACCAATAAAGAATGACACTTCTGGATTTGTAGGGGTGGAATATTCCATTTAATTGCTATTCGGCATTTATTCACTGTACATTTCAAAGCAAGTATTTCCTTTGAGGTGGTAAATGTCTAAGTGTTCAATATAAAAATGTCAAAAGCTTTATTCTATCAAACATTTTTCGAAAATATATTCGTCATTTATGCTGCAATTGTTGGCTTTATTTTCCGTATGTAAACCCCATCATTAATGGAATCAATTACATTCGATGAAGTTGCTAGATTGGCTTTAATGAAAGAGGCTTATCGGCTTAGATCTTCAGTGCATATTAACTTGCATGAGGCAACCCGTATTAATCAGTAGGACAGCAGTGTTACATGTGCCGCATTGGGCAAAAAACACAAACCCGAGCACGCAGTTTGCTTCGACTGTTGATGAATAACAGAGTACAAACATACAAAGTTTAAATTGCAGAGCTCTTCCCAAGTTTAATTTCTTGGTTTCCAAAATTTCAAGGACCTCAGTTCAAGTCCCATTCTCCCACGGCTCCACTTTATAATTGGATTCTATTTCAGTTGAAACCCTTAAATCCCTAGGTTGACTCGGTCTAAAGTGTAACTCTGGCATAGCTCGAAGGCTAGGGGGATGAAGGTGTTTTCCCATAGTGCTGGTCTTTTGACCCCTCATGTCCCATGACTGCCATAATAAAGAGCTTGCTAAAAGCAGAGGACAGTATGCATGTGTGGACCTTAACCTGCCATTTCAGAGCAGTGTTTGAAAAAGCTTAGCCTTACATAGTGCGAACAAAAGTTATTTCTCCCGAGAAAACCATGTTATAAATGAACCAGCACAGAGTTATTAATAAGACCGCATCACCCAGAATGCACCTGATCTCATTAGATCTCAACAGCTAAGCGGGGTTGAGCCTATATAGTGCTTGGATGAGCAACCACTGTACATCAAACGGGTCTTTTCGGCTTTTGCCGGGGCATTATTGTGGGCAGCAGAGAGCTTTTGCTTCGAATTCAATTGTTGTACTATACTTCTATGCTCTCCCGTCTGTGCTCCACACATTCATCAATCTGCATTGACCTGCATGGTGAAGTCTGGTTGAATAAACCCTGTGTGACCTGCACAGCGTGGAGAGGCCCTCATACAGCAATTAATTGACAAAAGGGCTTACACGGTTAAATAAGACGTAGTTTGGTAGCTTTAATTTCAAATGCAGTAATGTTCACTGAGAAACAATTAGTTGATCGGCAGGCCACACGTGGTGGACTGTGAATTCGTCCAAGACGTCTCGCCAGCGTCGAAGAGAAGGCCAAAATACCCTCACGGGGCTCTCTAGAGCTCCCCATAGTTGAGGCCTTTCTGCCAACAGTGGC